ATATGATTAAAAATTAGATTTATAATTAATGACATATTCTTCTAATGCTTTCTATGTGAAGTATATCAAGGAAATTAAGAAAATATTCATAATAAATAAAATTTCCCCCTCTCCCTAGAGAAAAGATTTTAAGCATTCACTCAACAAATATTCCATGACAGTAACATAAAAGAAAGAAAAAAATAAACTGGGAAGAAAAAAATAAACCAGAAACCTAAGAACATTTTTTATAAAACAACTCTTATAGGAATTTTCAGATATTTGAAAAGACAGCAGCACTCAGAGAATAAAAATAATTCTTGGAAACTAAAACTTTTAAATAAGGATTATAAGAAAATAATGAAGGAAATCTCCCCAAAATTGAACAAAAGTAAGAAAGACAGAATACTGAGTATCAATCCAGAAGGCCCCACAAATGAGTAACTGTACATCTGGAGAAAATGGAAAAAACAGACAGGGCTGAGGAGGGAGCATTACCAAAGAAATAATACAAGAGAATTTTCCAGAGTTGAAGGACATGAGGCTCTGGATGCAAAAACTCTACAAAGAACCAAGTACCATGGACAAGAATTTAACTATAATTAGACCATAAAACTAAACCCACTGTAGTGAAGTCAACACTGACACATAGCAACCCTGTAGAATAGAGCAGAAATGCCCATAGAATTCCCAATGTAAATCTTTACAGAAGCAGATTGCCTCATCCTTCTCCCACAAAGCAGCTGGTGGGTATGAACTGCCAGCCCTTCAGTGAGCAGCCAAGCACTTTAACCACAGTGTCACCAGGGCTCCCAAAGACAGAACAGGTACCTAAAAAATCGGTTGGCCCCTGGAGAAATAAATCAAAATTTGAAATGAATAAAATTTCCTCTCTTATATGTGGCATCTTTCGTATGTAGAGTATGAAAGGTTTAGAACAAGGTAATGAGATTTGGGTTCATTTCCAATTTCCTTCTGGAAAATACTCTTGTTATAATAATAGTTAAAAAATACTTAAAACCTTGAATGCTTTCTTAAGATGATTTTCTTTGGTGATAATCTTTTAAATTGTTTTTAGTCCAGAGTTCTGGTGGCATAGTGCCTAAGGCATTTGACTGCTAATCAGAAGACCAGCAGTTCAAATCTACCAGCTACTCCTTGGAAGGAATATTGGGCAATCTACTTCCATAGTGATACCACCTCAGAAACCCAAAGAGGGGTCACTATGAGTCAGAACTAAAAACAGTCATTGTAATTTTTATATAATGTTGACACAATTTTAAATAGCAAGTAATTATAATATTTTTCCAAGGAAAAGAAATGAATAAATTTTTAATGCAAAATAAAAGAACTCTTAAAAGAAATAAGTCTTAGCATTTCATTTTTAATATTACAGATACTTTATCTTTTAAGTAGCACATAAATTAACTGTGTGACTTCTTAATACACAGAATAAATGTAAATTTTTAAAGCTAAGTCTAAATGGAGTGATACAATCAAACTATTTAAATACAGCAAAATAATGTTAGATGTTCATTTTACAAGTTTCTCTAAAATATACTCTACGCTACTAATATACTGTTACATATGTTCACAAATCTTATTTCATAGTTTTTAAAAATTCTTTTCTGTCTTCTATTTCATATTCTCTCAAAGTGGTAATGGAACCAGAAACAACATCATCATTTTTAGTCAAGTGTCATCTAATTACATGTATCTCTAGTTATCTGAAAACTCAAATATCTTTTTTTTCTCAGAAAGTAAAAGCTTCTTTCCCATCCTTTCTCTGTTACACATAGAAAATAATCACATGTTGGGTTTGACTAAGTTGGAAAATTCCTGCTGGTTATGAAGCCAAGAACATACTTTCGGTGTCAACAGATGAGGCTTGAGGGTGTATCCTATCGTAACCATGAGACCTACAAATAATCTTATACATTAAAGTTAACATAATCATGGATGATTCATTTAACTGCTAAAATTGGATAGTAATTTTTTTTAAGTGGAGACAAAGAGATAGTTATTTTACTTTATAAGTCTTATTCAGTCCTACTAGAAACAGTTTTTAATGTACATCTGTATATCAACTACAAACACTGAAAAAAATATATATACACATGTGTATATATATGTGTATATAATACAGATATTTAAAAATAGATATATTGGTAGTTTTAGAAATGACTTATCATATTGATATTCTAATACTCTGAGGAAATAAAATAAAGGACAAAATAATACAAGAGCACTATTCTAAACATACGTCATTACTTCCAGCTACTTCTACTAAGTAGACCAAGTTGTCATTACAATAAACACACATGCAAGTACATGCATATATACACATATTTAAATAGTACCTTTAATTTTGTATTCTCAAGATTGAGAGTTTCATTTTCATATTCAATAGAATGAAGTTTTCTAAGAATTTCTTCACATGATTTTTTTCCATGGTCTCCCATTTTCTTCAGGTCCTCCAAAAAATTAGCGATTTGCCTTTATAAAACGATGGTACATTTCACAAAAGTCAGAAATTTTCATTCAAATAATACATTTTAAACATGTTTCTGAAATCATTTTAATAGGGTGCACTGTTTCAAATAGGAAAACATGCAAAAAGTTACTAGACTTATTAGAATAAGAGCAGTACTACCTACTTATTGCTGCAGAGTCGATTCTGACTCAACAGCAATCCTACAATACAAAGTAAAAGTGTCCCACGGGCCTTCCTGTAAATCTTTACATAAGCAGACTGCCACATCTTTCTCCCACCAAGTGGCTGGTGGGTTTGAACTGCTGACTTTTTGGTTAGCAGTTGAATTCTTTAACCACTGCACCACTAGGGCTCTTCCAGAATGAGAGCAATAGGAAGAAGAAATAATCTAAAGAGTTACTACAGAAGGGATAGCTAAACCATCTGCTGTAAGTCTCTTATTACCACAATTTAAACATCTTTCTGTTCTCTCTTTCATTTAGCTTTTCTCCTTTTCCTTTGTCCATATTTTAATAGTGCCTGATGTATACAAAAACAGTTTAAGTGAACTGATATTACCTGTTATTAGAAACAACTGTCCACTGATAATGCCAATAAAAAATTATACAACATTCTTTTCTGGATTCACAACAATGTCTGAACTATAGGAATGCATGTCTGTGTGTCTTTCTCATTCATTCACTCATTCACGTACATTCACCACATTCAGAGCAAAGGTTTAATAACAGGATCAAGTAAGGCAATAACAACTAATTTTAGAAGTAAACTATGTATGCTAGTTTTCAATGATAAAAATGAAGGGAATATTCAGGAAATAAAACATTTTAAAAATAAATACTCAGGATTCATTATCATTAGCTTATCAATAATAAATTTCAAGTCACAAAATACATGTATTTTTACTTATTTGTCTTTTCTGTTATGTAGTTATATGGCATTTTAATTAAGGAACAATAATTTTTAGGACTTTGAAAGCACATTTTATAGCATAAACTTTTTTTACTTATTCTTATTGTACATTCCTATTTAATAGAGAAATATCACTTCTACCTTAAGACAAAATTAGTTCATATACTAGATGACATACACTAAAATATCATATATGAAACTATGTTTCAAAATGTGAACACCAATGCACTTTTTATGGGTGATCACTTTTTACTGTATTTTTATAGTAAAGTAGAACAAGAAAAGTACATAAGAATTACAAATACCAAATATAAATCATATAGATGGCAACTTTACCACATGGAATAGAAGAACCAAACTACAAACCATTCAAAGTGGGGGAGAACTGAGAACCTTAAACGTAGAAAGATTCTAAGTTGTTGGTCTTTTTCCTTACTTTTTCAGAGTTTCAGTCCGAACTTCCAACCCAGTTTTTTCTATTATAATATTCTCATAATGACTTCTCCAGGCATTGGAGGCGGAAATTGTCTCAGACAACTTGGCTTCCTAAAAAATACATAAAGTACTCCTCTTGTAATTCAAGAACAATTTTTTTGTTGTTCAGGGCCTTAAACACAAATGTATTATAAACAAGGAAACACTCATTCTGTAAAGTATGGAGTTATTTTAGAAAAGTGCAATGTACTGCTCTGAAAGTAGGAAAATTTTGAAGTAATTATTAATAAAAACTCTGTATTACTCTTGTTATATATACATAGTGGCACTTGCAACTTAATATTTTAAAGGAAGTTGATGTAACCATTTTCAAATAATGCTTCATAATTAGTTAAAATAATTCCCTATCTATTTACTGGACTTTTCATTTTGTCTTCTATATACAGAAGACGCTAACAACCACACACATCAGAGGAAGAAAGGTGTCAATGGTGTACATAAGCCTCTGGACATGCTGCATTGGGCAAATCTGCTGCAAGAGACCTCTCTAAAGTGTTGAAGAGCAAAGATGTCTTCTTGAAGACTAAGGTGCGCCTCACCTGAAATGCATATGCATCTGAAAGCTGGACAATGAATAAGGAAGACCAAAGAAGAATTCATGCATTTGAATTGTGGTGTTGGTGAAGAATTCTGAATGGACTGCCAGAAGAACAAACAAATCTGTCTTGGAAGAAGTACAGCCAGAATGGTACTTAAAAGCGAGAACAGCCAGACTTTGTCTCTCATACTTTGGTCATATTGTCAGAAGGGACCAGTCCCTGGAGAAGGATCTCATGCTTGGTAAAGTAGAGGATCAGCAAAAAAGGGGAAGACCCTCAGTGAGAAGGACTGACACAGCAGCTGCCAACGACGGGCTCAAGCATAGCAATGACTGTGAAGATGGCAGAGGACCAGGCAGTATTTCATGCTGTTGTACACAGGAACTACCACCAAACCCACATCTGCATAGCAATTAATAATATACAGCCTTACTTATCTTTTATGATGATACCAGGCTCTGTTTGGTAGAGGTCATCCCTGTCAGCCTTTGAATGCTGCTACTGCTAACAAAGAGATAAACGTGGTAGTAGTGACTTATCCAGTTTGAATGTGAGCTCCATGAGGTAGAGAGTTTTGTCTGTTTTGTTCACTGCTGTTCTGGAAGAAGCATTTCTAGGGTCTTGAACAGTGCCTGGTACACTGCATATACTCAAGAAATAACTTTCAAATGAATCAGGCCTTTATAGATCCACTTAAAGAACTGCATCTGTTGCTTCCCCTTTCTATATTCTACAGAAAAACGAATTGCATTGAAATGGCAACAGTGCCAGTAATTACTAGTCAGAAGACCCAGAAGTAGTAATGATCAAAGTTATCATTTATGGAGTACTCCTTTCCTGCCACTATCCATTTATTCACAGAACAAGTATTTATTGAACTACTATGTATAAGAAGCTTTTGTCTACATTTTTTCACAGTAATGGTTTTGATATATTGAAGATTAGTATTTTTTTCATTTTATATAAAATAAATTTTAACATACATTATGAAACATAAGTTGGTGCAGTACAGTGAATTATTTAATATGGCCCTTTTAGCCATAGTCTTCATAACTCCCACCAAATGACTGGGTGGAACTAACCAAATGTGAGGTGCTTGTGGACCACCAAGGGGATTAGATAGCTTGCTCAATAAAACACAGGTAAACTGCTACAACTATTTTTAAATTATCTTCAGCAAAATTATACTTGTGTGTGATATTAATGATATTATCCAATAATTTCCATGTTCTGTTGGCTCACCTTTCTTTAGATCGGGCACATATATCAATCTCTTCCAGTTGGTTGGTCAGACAGCTATCTGTCTTACTCATAATTTAAATAAAGACCATGGCACCCTTGTGGGGGCAGGACCATGGAAATTTGATGTATGGAACTCTAACATGAGGATTGGTCAGTGCTGCCTTCCCGCTAGGCTTTAAAATGAGCCATCCTATAGGGAGAAAGAGGGAATCTCTCCACCATCAAGAAAGAAGAGCTAGGAGTGGAGCATATTCTTTGGACCCAAAATCCCTGCACTGAACCTCCTGGAGCCCGAAGACAGAGAGAAAGCAGTAACACTTTGCTGAAATGGTGAGAGACGGTGACACACAGTGAGAAGCAGACCACGGCAGCAGAGGCAGCAGAACCAAGAGAGTGACCAGCACAAGACAGAGTGGTGGGCTTCCTGTCTCATGCAGCAAGAAAGTATAGTGCCTTTGGGTTGAGGCATACTGGCCTGTAGCCATTTATCAGCAGAGCTAAAAGAATTTTGTAACAGTTGCCAGAGCAGGGCAGAGGCCAGGGGCCATGAAGCCTAGAGGCCAATCACTGTCCAGCTTTCACATGCATATGAGGTGACTGAATAAATCATGGCTTGGATCAGTAACACCTTTGTTCTTTAGTACTTTGAAAACATCTTTTGCAGCAGATTTTCCCAGCGCAATATGTCATGTGATTTCTTAACTGTTGCTTCCATGGGTGTTGACTATAGATCCAAGTAAAATGAAATCCCTGACAACTTCAACCTTTGCTCCATTTATCATATTGCTTATTGGTCCAATTGTGAATTTCATTTTCTATATGTTGAGATGTAATCCATACTTAAGACTGAATTCTTTGATCTTCGTAAGTGAGAACTTCAAGTCATCTTCACTTTCAGCAAGCAAGGTTGTGTCTTCTGCATATCATAGGTTGTTAATGAGTCTTCCTCTGATCCTGATGCCATATACCTCTTCATATAGTCCAGCTTCTTGGATTATTTAGTCAGCATATAGATGGAATACCAAAAACAAAGCAAACCCACTGCCACTGAGTTGATTCTGACTCATAGTGACCACCATTGAGTTTCCAAAGCAGTAAATCTTTATGGAAGCAGATTGCCCAGTCTTCCTTCCATGGAGTGGCTGGTGGGTTTGAACCACCAACCTCTGGTTAGCAGTCAAATGCCTTCAATACTGCACCACCAGAGCTTCTTACAGATTGAATAATTATGGTGAAAGGGTACAACCCCGACGTGTACCCTTTTCTGATTTTAAACCATGCACTATTCCCTTGCTCTATTCAAACAACAGCCTCTTGGACTAGGAACAGGTTCCTCATGAGCATAACCCAGTGTTCTAGTTCCCATTCTTCACAGTGTTATCCATAATCTGTTACGATCTGCACTGTCAAATGCCTCTGCATAGTCAATAAAACACAGGTAAGCATCCTTCTGGTATTCTTTGCTTTCAGCCAAGATCCATCTGACATCAGCAATGATATCCTTTGTTCCACGTCTGCTTCTAAATCCAACCTGCATTTCTAGAAGTTCCCTGTCAATATACTGCTGCAACCATTTTTGAATTATCTTCAGTAAAATTTTACTTATGTGTGATTTTAATGACATTTTTAAATAATTACCACATTCTGTTGGATCATCTTTCTTTGGACTGGGCACAAATATTGATCTTTTCTAGTTGGTTGGTCAGGCAGCTAGTATCCAAATTTCTTGGCATAAATGAGCAAGCACTTCCAATATTGCATCCATTTGTTGAAACATCTCAATGGATATTCTGCCAATTCTTTGTTTTTCACTAATACCTTCAGCGCATTGTGACTTCTTAAATATCATTGGGTCTTGATCGTATGCTACCTCCTGGAATAGTTGAACATTGATAAATTCTTTTTGGTACAGTGACTCTGTGTATTCCTTCCACCTTCTTTTGATGCTCCTGCATCTTTCAATATTTTGCCCTATAATTCTTCAATGCTGCAATTCAAGACTTGCGTTTTTTCTTCAGTTCTTTCTGCTTAAGAAATGATGAACACATTCTTCCCTTTTGGTTTTCTGATTCTAGATCTCTGCACATTTAATTACAATACTTTACTTCGCCTTCTTGAGCTGCCCTTTGAAATCTTCTGTTCAGCTCTTTTATTTCAATATTTCTTCCATTCACTTTAGCTATTCTCCATCCAGGAGTAAGTTTCAGAGTCTCTTCTGACATCCACTTAGGTCTTTTCTTCCTTTCCTGTCTTTTTAATGACCTTTGCTTTCTTTGAGGAACTCTGGTGGCTTTCTTCATGTATGATGTTATTGGTGTCATCCCACAACTCATGTGGTATTCTGTCATTAGTGTTCAGTACACCAAATCTGCTTTTCAGATGACCTCTAAATTCAGGGGGGATATAATCAAGGTTGTATTTTGGCTATTGGAGGGTTGTTTTAATTTTCCTCAGCTTCAACTTGAACTTGCATATGAGAAATTGATGATCTGTTCCACAGTCAGGTCCTGGCAGGTCCTGGCCCTGTTTTGACTTATGATATCGAGCTTTTCCATCATCTCTTTCCACAAGTCTAATTGATTTAACTCCTGTATATTCTATTTGGCACGGTCCACTTGTATAGTCACCATTTATGTTGTTTAAAAAAAAGGTATTTGCAATGAGTAAGTCATTTATTCTTGCAAAATTCTATTATGCGATCTCTGGCATCATTGTCATCATGAAGGCCACATTTTCCAACTACTGATGCTTCTTCGTTGTTTCCAAGTTTCACATCCCAATTACCAGTAAATAAATCTCCACTGCATGTTTGGTCAATTTCAGACCTTAGAAGTTGGTAAAAATCTCCAATTTCTTCATCTTTGGCTTTAGTGCTTGATGCATAAATTTGAGTAATAGTTGTATTAACTGGTTTCCTTGTAGGCATATACAATTTATCCTATCACCAACAAGAATTGTACTTTAGGATAGATCATGAAATGTTCTTTTTGACAATGAATGTGATTCCATTTCTCTTCCATCTGTCATTCCTGGCATAGTAGACCATATGATTGTCTCATTCAAAATGGCCAATACCAGTCCATTTCAGGTCACTAATGCCTAGAATATCCATCTTTATGCATTTCATTTCATTTTTGACAACTTCCAATTTTCCTAGATTCATACTTCACACATTCCACATTCTGATTATTAATGAATGCAGCTGTTTCTTCCCATTTTGAGTTGTGCCCAATCAGTAAATGAAAGTCTGTAAGTGTTACTCCACCCATGTCATTAAGGTTGACTCTACTTTGAGGAGTTAGCTCTTCCTTCCCCAGTCTTATTTTGAATGCCTTCCAACCTGAGGGGCTCATCTTCCAGCACTATATCAGACACTATTTTACTGCTACTTACAAGGTTTTCAATGACAAATTTTTTCAGAAGTAGATGCCCTGTCCTTCTTCTCAGTCTGTCTTAGTCTGGAAGCTCTGTTGAAACTTGTCCACCATGGGTGACCTTGCTGGCATTTGAAATACTGGTGGCACAGCTTTGAGCTTCACAGCAACATACAAGTCACCACAGTACAACAAACTGACTGACAAGTAACAATAAACATAGAGGTTAGAGTTTACAACATATATTTTTGGGGGACATAATTCAGTCCCTAACATATCCCATTTCATAATGAAACTGAGGCTTAGAATGCTTAAATGACTTACCCAAACTTTCAAGGTTAACAAATGACAGAGCCCTCCTATACTATGATCTGAGGCAGAGATGACGCTATTTAAATAGAAGAACTCTAAGAATGTTAATGACTTAATTATTTTTCACCACTGCAGTGAACTGCTTGATGTGGCCCTTCTAGCCACTGTCCTCCATTCTGTGAGGTTTTGTAAATCTCATTATTCATGCCTATTTGGGGTGGTGCGGTAGTAAAGGTCAGGTATCAACTTGGCTGGGCAGCTGGTAGTTAGTAGTCATTCTCTATAATGACTGGCAATGGACTCTGTGATGGGATTTAGGTTAATTCTGTTGGGGCAACACAGGTGGAATGTATCTTGAGTCCTGCCTTGCTGGAGGGTATAATTTAAATCACCACCCTTAGCTTCCCTGAGGGTATACCTACGAATCTCCTGGGAAGATTAGCTCTCCTCTTGCTCCGGCTTTGTGTCTTGGATCATCCTCATCTCACCCCTGGATTTGGGACAGCAGCCGTCATCTGATCTGCTGATCGAGGTTCATCAAACCCCAAGAGTTGGGAGGATCCGCCAGACCTACTCACAGACCCGGGACTCACCAGCCTGCCAGCCTCCACCACTACTACGTGAGACGAACCCTTGGGTGTCTGTGAGTTCTGTGAGGCGTTACAGTGAAATAAAGAACCCTAAGACTGGGGAAATTACTGGGAGGAGGAGGAGGAGTTAATATCTGAAATGATGGAGTGGCATAGTAGTTTGGACATTTGGGACATCTTTGACCTCCGCCTCATGGGGACCGGCCTCGTGCTGATCTTTCTAAGAGAAATTGTTCAAGCAACCACTCATCAATGTTTTCAGATATTCAACCAGATCTACAACTTTCTAGACTGTGAACCTAGCTCTCAATCCTTTCATCTAGTTAAGTTCTTCTGAAAGGTTAAATATTAGAGGCTCAAAAATGTTAACACTTAAGATTATAAAATATTATGTTGTTTTGTTTACACAAGCTTTTTACAAGTTGTTTTCATTTCTAAAAGCCTCTATTAATTCTGTAAGTCTTAACATAAGTTCTCGGGAGGTGAATACCAGTAAGAGATTAAAGAGTAAGTATTTTAGTAATTGGTAATTGAATAAATATAATTCATCAAAAACAACAAAGAACTAAGTCCACTTTTCAACTTTGTACTATACTCAAAGATATCTTTCACATGGTGTCTTTACGTCAGCATATGGGTTTAAATGCATTACAGAGATTAAGTGAAGTAAATTACTGAATAAAGTCATATGGTCTAACAACATAAATCAGCATTTCTCAAACTAGTGTTCCTCAGAACCAGTTCCAAGAGTTGCTTTGTGGGTAAAAGAAGAGTTCTGTGGTTAAATAAGTGTGGGAAACACTGAGTTCAATAGAGTTAATTAGACTGCATTACTGAAGGCCTTCTCAGGGCCTTTAATATGTCAATATACACTGTACATTTCCAAAGGGAGGTATAACCCTTAGTTAGTTGGCTGCAGAAGCCTTTTGTGTGTGGGGGGGACACAACTTAACATCTCTTTTAAGTAATGTTCCAAAGGAAATGCTGATATATTTAATATACAATTTTGACATCTTTGGAAACAAAATACTAAAGCATAAAGTGGGAGGCAAAGTTTCTCTAGTATCAAAGAGCATTAAGAGAAAAATAAAATTATTATATTAAGTATATGACATTAACTACATAAACTACATACACATAACTTAAAAACCCAAAATACATCTTTAAAAAAAGAATGTATACACTCACCTGATCTCTAATTTGGGAAGTAAGGTTCTCAATGCTTTCTGCAAAATTTTCAAGCCTTTGTTTGTAAGCTTTCGATGCCTTCTTCAAAGCTACAGCTTTCTGCCTACTTGATTCTTTGATCACTACAGCCTCATGCTTATTCTTCCTCAACTGCAAATTCCATTCAGTTATCTTTATTTCTAAGCTCTAAAAAAAACAAATCGGCAACAATTAAATCATTTTAGAACTTCTGTATTTATGTAACTATTATAAAAATACATAAAGAATCTTCTGGGCAGATATTATCAAAACAATCATAAGATTAATAAAAAGCCAAACAGTAAATAAATATGATTTTACCAATGCTTACTCTTAACCAGTTATACAATGTAAATTTAAAATATGTAAGACTACATAAAACTAAAGCTATTTATTAAAAATGCTAATCTTAAATGGACTTACTTCCATGGACTGGCTCTCAGCCCAACAGCAAAATGACCTACATGCAGAACATCTACCCCAGGGAGACGCACCCACCTAGCATAGGGAGATGCACCCCTTAGATCAATCAGCCATGAGACATCAGAGGGGCAGCGTTTGCACAAAGGGAAAGCCGGACAAACAGGAGTGCATAGATAATAAGAAGGGCACAAGGTGGGGGCAGTCACGGGAAGGAGGGGGAGGAGAGTTTTTTCATGGTTGGGGATGGTAATCCAGCCGTGAAATCACATGTGCATGAACTGTCAACTGTAAAACAAATCCATTTTGTAAATTTGCACTCAAAGCACAATTTAAAAAAAAAAAAAAGCTAATACTAGTGATTATGGTACAAACACTAACTTCATTAAAACTATTTTTTGTGATTTATTTTTTTAAAAATTTTAGTCCACAACTGGAATATTAAACATAAGTACTAGTTATTGCAGAATAAAATAATAATAATAATAATAATAATAATAATTAAACTGGAGACAATTCAAACACTAGATATATAAAGCCCAAAGAAATTAGTAGCTCCCAAATTTAAGATTCTTTAGTTCAAAAAGATAAAAGCTAAAAAGAAATCAATCATGAAGGATGTACACAAGATGAACATGAATTATTTACCAAGTTCTAATTAGATAGAATTAAGGGGCATGACTTGACACTTGAAAGAGTTACCAAAAGGACAATAAAAAACCCTGCTTTACCCAATAAGCTGTAAATTGGGGAACTCCAAAAGTAAATAGTTTTATATAAAGTAATGACAATTACATCCATAAGAGATGGATTTGATGGTGTTAGTGGCATGACTGAGGAGCTCTGGTAGCATAGTGCCTAAGGTACTTGACTGCTAACCAGAAGGCTGGCGGTTCAACCCACCAGCCGCTCTTTGGAACAAAGGTTGGGCAATCTACTTCCATAGTGATACTGCCTCAGAAACCCAAGGAGGGGTCACTAAGAGTCGGATCCGACTCCATGGCAGTGAGTTTGATTTTTGGTTTGAGTAGCATGACCATCTCCTTGATATATCCCTTGGTGACTTATCAAGAAACAGGATGGATAGATGATGGATATGATTTAGTATGATAATTCTCATGTTTTTATTTCAAAGTATTTTAAGACATTTCTTTAATACTTTTACATAATTTGAAACCTGTGTATATTGAAGAGAAAATGTAATTATTACAGAACTTAGGTTTTGACCTCTCATTTCTCAGCCATTTTAATCAAAAATATTTCAAAGGAGTCAGTGAAAAAAAAAATTGGGGCTTTTCTATTCAACTGCATAATTAAAATTTTTTTTTTTCTTAACTTCTACTAATATAGAGATTAAGAACATTTTAAGATTTAAAGTGTGATCTCTTACGATATACTTAGTAGACCAAGAGAAAGAACAGTTTTTTTTTTTTTTTTTTAATTAGGATTTGGGTGAAGATTTACAGAGTAAATTCACTTTTCATACAGCAGTTCACATATACTTTGTCTCATGTCATCGACCAAAATTTACAATGCAGCAGCTCCCCTCCCACTTCCTCCCCATAGTTACCTCCTCCCAGTGTCCATCCCTTCATACTCTTCGAGAGGCCCATTGTCTGCCAACCCTGTATATGATCTTGGATACACTCTCCATTTAGACATACATAATTGTTTAGCTTGATCACCCATCTATCCGTCCCTATACCCATATTTGCTTTCATTAACAACTCAGTATTGTATTTACAAAGGGGTTCATATTTGTTGTTTGTACTGCCCATGTAACTCTCTCTGTGAGAAAGAACAGTTTTAACTCTCTTTAAAAATATATCTTAAATTAAAACTCCCACTAAACATTTTAATAAGTATTTGGGAGAAAACAAGAAAAAGCAGTACAAGAGGCACTAAGAACCCCCCTCCCCCAAGAGAAAACAACTGTCATTCCCACAAGACACCACAGGGTGTCATTACCACAACATTAATAACCATTCCAAAACCCACTGTGTGGAGTCCATCCATTCACAGGGACCCTATAGGACAGTGTAGAACTGCCCCAAATGGTTTCCAAGACTGTAAATCTTTATGGAAGCAGACTGCCTTATCTTTCTCCCACAGAGTGGCTGATTGCTTTGAACTATTGGCCTTTGGGTTAGCAGCAGAATGCTTTAACCACTGTACCACCAGAGCTCCTTCCTATTAATAACAATTGCTACATGTAAGTAAGAAACCCTTTTAAATTCCAAAAGCGCAGTGAATGTTTTTTTCAAACAAGATTTCAGTGAAGACTTTTCGCACTAGATTTATGAAATCCCACTCTTAGCAATGTTAGTGCCTAAATAATCAAATTATTTTAATGGTTTCAAACTAAATAACCCCTTATAGTCTCTTGCCAAATGAGTAACACATGTTTAATATCAACTATTTTACTTTTCCTACCTCCAAAGAATGAAATGTGGTCCACATTAAAATCATTCTCCATCTCCTAAAATATGCAAAAATTACTCTAACTCTCATGGCTACATTACAAAAATCTAGAAAGAAAAATTGGTTCAAAGTATTATATGTCTCTTGGGATATTTCTCAGAGAATTACAATGTATTTAAAATTTTTAAAGACCCAATAATGAATTGACTTAACAATTCATGCTGCCAAAACTGAGATTTATGTTGCAAACCAAGTTAACTGTGTTTGTACTCAGAAGTAAATGCTGGCTCCCATTTATTGTCTTAACATTCCAAAAGTGTGTATGTGAGAGGGAATGCAGAAAAATCAGGAATGTAATGCAACTTCTTTATAATCAATGAGAAACAGTAGCATTTTTAAAAAAGAAACTGAACTCAAAGAATTAAAAAGAAGAATGTCTTGGCAAAATGTTAAGATTTTAGCATTGTGGTCTTTCTCCAAATTACTATGGTTATAAAAAAATAATTCTATTAGATTTACTTTTAAAAAGAATTATGTAACATTTTTTAAGTTGAAGAAAATATTCTCAAGAAATTTCTCAACTGCTATTTTAAGACATAATTAAACATTGCATAAGGAAGATAAATTGTATTAAATCATAAGAATTGTTCTTGTTGCATTTACCATGACAGAGCAATAGAATACCAATCCCTGGTCTTCTTCAGTGTTCTGAGACAGCAATGCCAAAGGACACTGGGAATCTAAGGGGGAAAGCGCTTAAAAGAACATGCAGGGGAACAAAGCACACATTTTACATTCTCTGTAAGTGTATTGGGAGCTCTAGTGGTGTAGTGCCTAAGGCATCTGACTGCTAACCAGAAGGCTGGTGGATTTGACCTCCTCAGAAAGAAGATTGGACGATCTACTTACATAGTGATACTGCCTCGGAAACCCAAGGAGGGGTGGCTATGAGTCGGATCTGACTCCATAGCAGTGCGTATGGTTTGAGTTTGGTTTTTAAGTGTATTAGATATCTAATTCAGAAGTCCTTCTGGGACTTGAGTCTCCATACACTTCTCTAAAAGTGGTAACACTGCTTCTTTTCCTTTGGTGAAAATAATGACAGGTTGTGCCTGTTTCATAATAACCTCAAATTATTATCTTAAGTAACTGTGAGACTTCCAAAAGAATATTTAAACCTCTCAGTTTAAGCCAAAAGAATTCCTCTTGATAATATTGCAAAAAGCTTATAACAAGAGGATTACTTGATTATTTAAAAGTCAAAGCCAGGTTAACTGATTTTTAAAAAATTACCATTAGTAACAAACACACACACACACAAAAAAGTATTGACTGTTTACTAAATATGTATGTCTATGTATGTCTGTATGTATAAATGTAGAAAAGAATGGAATTTGCACTAGACAACTATCCCGCAAAAGGCCTATTTAGAGTGTTAAAAAGCAAAGACATCACTTTGAGGACTATGATGGTCGGAATCCAAGCCATGGTATTTTCAACTACTTCATCTGCATGTGAAAACTGCACAATGAATAGGGAAGACTGAAGAAGAATCAATGCCTTTGAATTACGGTGTTAGTGAAGAATACTGAGTATACCATGGACTGCCAGAAGAACCAATGAATCTGTCTTGGAGGAATTACAGACAGAATGCTCCTTAGAAGTGAGGATGGCAAGATTTATTTACTTCGGATATGTTGATCAGGAGGGACTAATCCCTGAAGAAGCACATCATGCTTGATTAAACAGAGAGTCAGCAAAAATAGAGGAAGACATTCAATGAGATGGACTGACACAGGGACTACAAAAATGGTCTCAAACACAGCAAACATTTGTGAGGCTGGACTATGACCAGGCAGCATTTTGTTCTGTTGTACACAGGGTTGCTATGAGTCAGAACTGACTCAATGGCACCTAACAACAATGCTAACAATAGTTTCAGTGTTTTTCATATTTTCTCCTTTATATTTCTTGTAATTTATAAATTTTCCACAATAAACATAAAATAACTGTAAAATGGGGAAAAATGTTTGAAGTAATTCAATCTCTACAAATCCTTCTTACCTTGGTATTGAAAAGAGAGCATTTTCATATTGAGATGTGATTTCAAATCTTCACACTGGCCAAAAATCTTGTGATTAAGATTTGCTTTAAATATATATTACTTACAGCAACACTTAAATTGAATTTTCCAAAACCACCACATTCTGAATTGAAAATGGCTTTATATCTTTACATTGATTTTATCACATAAACTATAAAAATAGATAAATATTTATAACCTTTATATATTCTTTTAACTTATCATTTTCTGCTTCCTTTTTATGTATTTGGTGTTGTAGCCTATCATGTACTACTTTTACTGACTGTGAGAAACGGTTTGCTTTCACGGCATTTGCCTATAACAGAGAAAAGAAAATAAACAACAATAAAAAAATGTTATTTGACTTATCCTAAAAATAACTTTAATTGTACCTCTATTCAGCCACAATATAAAAAGCTGGTAAAAAAGTAAAGTATTTTTTCAAGTAATTGTACAGCTCATTACCAATGTATTGCATGTAAAACTATGTGGCATTTTCTCCCCACTCCCTTTATGTAATGGCTTCTCATAATTATCTCTTTTAAAAAACTTCCATTTATTCTCCAAAGCACAGATATGGGTATTTCTAAAATACTCCTGCAAACACCAAAATTCCTTAATGGCTTAAATTTTCCCAAAATTGAAATACAACACAAACATAGTTTCTAATTTAAAGTGATTTGTGCCAAGTACCCTGACTGATACAATATAATCTATATTTCTATTTAAATTATGTTATATTTGATACATAAAACTTGTAAAACACCCGAATAATCTAGGATTTCAGTAAACCTTTATGTGTTTATTTCTCAGAGGCTATGGGGTCCAGATGTAGGGATAAGATGGGAAGAAGAGGAATAAGGAATTCAGCTCAAAATTTGCTTACCTTTTCATTCTGAAACAAATTAGAAAGTTCTTGGATATATGCCTCCTTTTCAAGTACCTTCTTCTTAAGATGCTTGAGCAAATAAAACGTAAGAGTTAGAAATATCACACCTTGGGTAACAATGGCTAGTTTTATAAAACCAAGGAGCATACACAGAACAACCACAACAACAAAAGTCAGAAAGAATGGGTATAAATTGTAAAGACTTACAGTATTTTCATTTTCATTATCAGTTAGCTTCTCTAACAATATGCTGGATAATCTGTTTCCTACCTGTCGCAAAGAAAAAAGGATGATATAAATCAGTGTTCACTAAATCTACTGTACAACATATATAAGATGAAATAAGCATCACTCAAGACATTAATATAACTAATATGCACAGTTTAGGTTTCTTAACAAGTTAACCTAAGTGTTCCTACTCCCTTCAGGCACCTGTGCCAGAGGTCTAAGGACTGGCATTACAGCCTCCCCTGTGTTGTGCTCTAGCAAACAGGGGATCACCCTCTTAGCAGGTACCCATGGACTGGTGGCAATTCCCCTGTCTTTCCCACTACAGCAACTCCCAATCCCCATAACCAGAGACATGCCTGCTCTAATCTCCCTAGCCCCATTAGTCCTGTCTGCCCAGAGCCATCAGTTGGGAATTTCCATACCATCCACTCAGTGACAGATGATTCATGCATCTCACCCTGACAGCAGGCAAACAGCAGTATGCACACACAAAATTCAACCTAAAGACCAGTCAAAACTTTTCTTGTACCCACACCCAGGTAACTGTCTAGATAGACACATCACCTCACTAGCAATGCCAGATACATCCTCAGCTGCCCTGCAAGACCAGCAAACAGAGACCCTGAACTCTCACTGCCTTATCATCCTGGAGACAGGTAGTAAAAGCTTTATATCATCCAGACTACCAACCAGAGTAGCATGAATGTGCTGCCTAATCAGATATATCAAAACAAAACAAAAAACCAGGATGTAGCAAATAAATATACAATAAATAAATATAATAGCACTGTAATGACTCAGAGACAACCAAAAACAAAAACCAAACCCACTGCCAATGAGTCAATTCCAACTCCTAGCGATCCTATAGGACAGTGAACTACCCCTACAGGGTTTCCAAGGCTTATATTTTTACAGAAGTAGTCTGCCTCATCTTTCTCCTGCAGAGTGCCTTGCTGTTGTTGTTATGTGCCATCGAGTCAGACCCGACTCATAGTGACCCATCCTTGGGTTTCTGAGGCAGTATCACTATGGAAGCAGATTGCCCCATATTCCTTCCGAGGAGTGGCTGGTGGGTTTGAACCACCAGCCTTCTGATTAGCAGTCAAGTGCCTTAGGCGCTACGCTACCAGAGCTCCCCTGCAGAGTGCCTAGTGCATCTGAACCACTACCTTTTTCGTTACGAGCCCAATGCCTTAACCACAGTACCACCAGAGCTCCTTTGAAGACAACAGATAATATCAAATCTTATAGAGAAGCAGGCAGATGGCTCCAGCAAGTTAACAAAATAAAGAATCAGAAAACTTTTTGGAGGAAGAAAATGGTAATGGAAATACCTGATAAGAAATACAAAAGGCTAACCAGAAGGCTGGTGGTTCAAACCCACCAACCACTCCTCAGAAGGAAGATCGGGCAATCTATTTTGGTAGTGATACTGCCTCAGAAACCCAAAAAGGGGTTGCTATGAGTTGGATCCGACTCAACGGCAGTGAATTTGGAGTTTTTGGAACACATAAGGTTCTCCAAAAGATCACAGAAAACATAGACAAACCAAGAAAAACACAGACTAAATCAAGGAAAAAACAGACAAAGCATAGAAGAATTCAGGAAAACAACACAAAAACAAAACGATAAAATAAATAAATAAATAGACATTTAGAAACCACACAAACACAGCCACTGTTGTTGTTGTTGTTAAGTGCCGTCGAGTCATTTCCGACTCACAGCGACCCCATGCACAGCAGAACGAAACACTGCCCGATCCCGCACCAGCCCCACAATCCCTGCTATACTCGAGCCCATCATCGCAG